TGATGTACATTAGATACCCAGAACTTATTCATTTTATAAGTTGAAAGTTTGTACCCTTTGACTAACATCTCCCCATTTCCTCTATGCCCCCACCCCAGCCCCTGGCAACCATCATTCTATTCTCTGTTTCTTTGAGTTCAGCTTTTTTTAGATTCCACATGTAAGTAAGAACATGCAATATGTCTTTCTCTGTCTGACCTATTGCACTTAGCAGAATGCCCTCAAGATCTGTAAGTATTAAGTATTATTACAAATAGCAGGGTCTTATTTTTTATAGCCAAACTATATATATATATATATATATATATATATATATATATATATATGCCAAAAATATACAGGGTGGAGCATAAGTAAGTTTAGAATTGTTCATATGGAAAATAATACAATAATTAATAAATAATAATACAAGAATAATTTTTTTGCATACTCACAAACTGTAAACCTACTTTTGCCCCACCTTGTATATAATGTTATCTTTACACATTCGTCCATTGATGAAAATATTTAGGTTGTTTCTATGTCTTGACTTTATAAATTATGCTGCAATTAACATGGAAGTACAGATATCTCTTTGAGGTTCTGATTTTATTTTCTTCACATATATAACCCAAAAGTGGGATTTCTGGATCAGAAGTTCTGTTTTTAACATTTTGAGGAACCTACATACTGTTTTCAATTGTGGCTATACTAATGTACACTACTCTTTTCTCCATAGCCTCACCAGCATTTGTTGTCTCTTCTATTTTTATCATGGCAGTTTTAACAGGTATGAGGTGATATTTCATGGTTCTAATTAGCATTTTCCTAATGATTAGTGATGTGGACTACCTTTTCATGTTCCTGCTGCCCATTTGCATGTCTTCTTTGGTAAAATATCTATTCAGTGCCTCTGCCCATTTTTTAAATCAGATTGTTGGTGTTTTCACTATTGAATTGTGTGGGTTCCTTATATATTTTAGATCTTGACCCCTTATGAGATGTGTGGTTTGCAAATATTTTCTCCCATTCTGTGGTTGCCTTTTCATTTTTCTGATTGTTTCTTTTGCTGTCTGGAAGCTTTTTAGTTTCACATAGTCCCATTTTTATTTTGTTGCTTATAATGTTGGTGTCATAAAAAAAATAGTTGCCAAGACAAATGTCAAGAAGCTTTTTCCAGCCAAAACCGGTTTGGCTCAGTGGATAGAACATCGGCCTGCAGACTGAAAGGTCCTGGGTTCGATTCCAGTCAAGGGCATGTACCTTGGTTGCAGACACATCTCCAGCAGGAGGTGTGCAAGAGGCAGCTGATCAATGCTTCTCTCTCATCTGTGTTTCTAACTCTCTATCCCTCTCTCTTCCTCTCTGTAAAAAATCAATAAAATATATTATATAAAAAGAAGCTTTTTCCCTATGTACTCTATGATGGGGTCCAATTTCATTTTCTGCATGTGATTATCCTGTTTTCTCAACACCATTTACTGTATTTTTGTTTTTAAATTTTCTTTCCCTCCCTCCCTCCCTCTCTTCCTTCCTTCCTTCCTTCCTTCCTTCCTTCCTTCCTTCCTTCTTTCCTTCCTTATTGACAGAGAGAGAGACAGAAAGAGAGAGAGAGAGATGGGGGGAGGGGTAAGAATGTGAGAGTATAATATCAATTTGGCTGCTTCCCTCACACGACCCTGAACTTGCCACCTCTTGGTGTATGGATCGATGTTCCAACCAACCAAGCCACACTGGCCAGAGTCCCAACATCATTTATTGAAGAAATGATACTTTCCCCACTGAGTCTTCTTGGCTCCCTTCTTAAATATTAGTTGACTGTATATGCTTGGCCTTTATCCTAGGCTCTCAATTCTGTTCCATGTGGCTGTGTGTCTCTTTTTATGTCAGTATCGTACTATTTTGATTATTATAACTTTATTAAAAAGTTTAAAATCCTGAATTGTGATGCCTCCAGCTTTGTCCTTCCTTCTCAGGATTGCTTTGACTATTTGGGGGACCTTTTGTGGTTCTGAATGAATTTTAGGATTATTTGTTCTAGTTTTAAAAAGATGCCTTTGGAATTTTTATAGGGATTTCGTTGAATCTACAGATTAGACTCGTTAGTTTTAGCTTTTTATGAAGGTAATTTCTTCTTATATTTCATCCAGTTTATTTACCTGAACTCACTGGGACAGTTAGTCCAAATCACTGAGGCTTCCATTGCCAGGAGCAGAGATATAAAATATCCTCCTAGCTGCTCTCATTGTCCTCAATTTCACTTCCAGTCCCTCCTTTCCAAAGTAACCAGGAATTTTTCCAAGGCACAACTCTGATTAAGTCATTCCCCTGCACAAACACTTCAAAGCTTATGGTGACTCTAAAATAAGCTTCAAATTCCTTGATTTGGACAATTAACTACAAAACTATCTTTATTTATTTATTTATTGAGCATTTTGTGTATGGTGCTCACTAGGCCAGGTTCTGCCTAATCTCTTGCCTCTGACCTCTTGTCTAACTTTAAATTTACCTTATACTCCAGTCAAACTGGAACATTCACTGTCATGTGGTAGACCTTGGTTCAGAACACAAATAGATAACTTCAGGTCAATGCTCTTTCTCCTATAACATGATCCCATATTCAGGCTTGAGTCCGTTCAATTTGTATATTTATGGATCTTCTAATAGATTAACCAGACAAAAGTTCAACAAGTACATTTTGGTATTTTTTATTGCTTTTCAGACTCTTTGGTGTGAGGGCCCTCTGGGATGTAAGGTCTGGAAGTGAATTCATCATCATCATCCACTTTTTGACACTCTCCATAGTCGCAAGGTCACCCAAAAATTATAACTTAAAGCTTCAGGCTTGTTTACCCTGACAAACAAGGGACCCACTGCCCCTGGAATTTAATTCCAGGTTGCTGAGAATATCCATCTAAAGAAATCTACTCCCACCTGCTGGCGGTTGCTGGAACTTCCAGTCAAAGCTCAGTCACCGGAAACAACCTTCTAGAAATAGGCAAACCTGCAAACAGGATTCTAGTTTGGGCCTCTATGCTTATGTAACCATTTTGTATATGCTTAATCCCTTTTTCTTATCTGGGCCTCCGTTTCCTCATATGACAATCCAGATATTTGGACAAAATGACCTGGAATGGTGTAGGATTATCTCTACAACAATGCCTCTGTGACCAGGGAGAATGGGGACAGAATAGCAGTAGGAGTAGGTTTGATTGATCCACTCCTGTATATTACAGTAAGTGACAGATATGTCTCACTATCCTTTTTTATTTCTGCACCCATGGGAAGGAGAACATTTGCTGCAATAGCAGGGGAAAGTGAGGGAAAGGAAGATATGAGGGTGGTCTGTTTTCTTAAAATATATATTTTATTGATTTTTTTACAGAGAGAAAGAGAGAGGGATAGAGAGTTAGAAACATCAATGAGGGAGAATCATCCATCAGCTGCCTCTTGCACATCCCCTACTGGGGATGTACCCACAACCAAAATACATGCCCTTGACCAGAATCGAACCTGGGACCTTTCAGTCTGCAGGCTGACACCCTATCCACTGAACCAAACCGGTTCTGACAGAGGGTGGTCTGTTCTTGAAAAAAAGACAGAGAACTGCAAGACTTTTAAAGTTTGATTCTAAAATGGTTAAGGAAGCAGAAATAGAGTTAAACCCTTACCTCAGGGAGCCTCAGCCAACCAGGCAACTAAAGCTCTGCTGGGCACAAGCAATCCCAAGTCACTTCTTCAAATGCTGACAGAAAGGGGAAGCAGGCTGTATTTCTGCGTGAATGTTCTAATTAACCAAGAGTGGACTTGAAATTTATTTTCATTGCGCTCCTTCTCAATGGCATGCCTTGGGAGGTTCAACACTGCTGAGCATGACTGAGGTCTATTTCTTGATTGTCCTTCTGGCCCATGGACTGTGAGGAACCTCTTTTTTAACTTGATTTTCCTGGATTTGAGATGGGAAGAACAGAAGGGATTAAGTGGAGAATTTTCCTCATTCTTTAAGACCCTTCTGTTTCATAGGACAATATTCGAGGTAATGGAAAAAAATAAGAACCCTCTAGTCAAAGTTCCAGGCTTTTCCACATAATAGGGCCAGAATTTAGGAGCGTTGGCATGGCCTGCTCTCCAGGGGCTAATTCCCTTGAATGTCTGAAACACTCCTCTTCAATGGTATCAGCCTTAGACCCTCACTTCAATTCTGTATGCCCTGGCTAGAGGATAGAGTCACAACTCAGGATGATCCCAGTTGGTAAACCCTTCCAATTCCCTGAGTTTTGTCCCAGGCACCCAAACTTGGAGTCAAGGATACTCTGGGAAACCATAACCTTCAAGAAACTCACTGTTTCCTGGAGCCCAATGTCCATACTTATGAAAAGGCACTCCCTCTATGGCCTTAGCAGTGCCATAAAACTGATTCGTGATCACTGTGCACTCCACCCAGAGGCAAGGCACATGGAGTTACTGGAGACCCAGGGGTTTGGTATGAGCAGCAGTTAAATACGTCCTGATTATCACACAAACACACACACACACACACACACACACACCACATACACACACACATACACACACACACATACACACACACACCACACACACACACATACACACACACACATACACACACACATACACACACACCCACCCACACACACACACACATACACACACACATACACACACACACACACAACCTCTTGAGCACACGCTTTTCCAAGAGAAACACACATTTTACATTTTGCAAAGAGGAAAAGCAGGACCAAGCCAATCTCCATAGCAACAGATCAGAGCCTAGCTCTCTATCAGGTGGCTCCCCTCCCCCTTCCCCGCCAGGCCCCGCCTCTGTCTCCAGGCTAGCTTGGAAACCTCTGCAGAGGCCTGAAAAGGGAGGGGGGAGACCCAGTAGAGCGCAGATTCTGGGTGGAGACAAGAGCTCCCGCCTTTCTTGTGCGGCAACTGGAAGCGCAGGATTGGTTCAGCGGGTGCTGCCGTGGGAGGAGTGGGTGGAGCCAGTCAAGCTTCCAGTCGCAGTCAGAAGCTGTTGCGGGAGCGCACCATCACAGCTGCCAGGAGCATCCAGGGTGATGTGTGCCGCAGAGCTGCGGGGGCTGCTCCCCCCGCCCTCTTTGCTTCCCATACATTAGCTATTGTCTCCTAGAGACCCTCCGGAGCACCCGCTCTGCGCTGTCCCTACCCTGTCCCTGTCCCAGTGGCAGCGGGCTCTCTCAAACGCTCTCTGGCCCCCATAGCGCTGCGGCCATGGGCATCAGAGCGATGCTGCGAGCCGCTGTGCTCCTGCTACTCATCAGGACATGGCTCGCAGAGGGCAACAACACCACTTCCATCCCGGAATACGTCTTCGAGCTCTCCCCGACCATGCCTGCAGTCATCCATAACGTCTTCAATTGGTAAGCCAGTTTGCCACCAGGGCGGGTGGGGAAGCCACAGAGTATGGCGGAGAATCTCATGCCACTTGGACAGAGTGAGCTGGGGGGAGGGGGGCTTAGACGCGGGTCAAGGAGCCCTGGCACTCAGGCCCTGCCTGCGGGTTCCCTGAGGGAAATTGGGTGGGGGTATGGAGGCGACCTGTTGAAAAAAAAGTCCTGTGCTAAAACCCACCTGTTACTATGGCGCCAGACAGAGCCCTGTATGCCCAAATTTCAGCCCCGGGGATGGAGAGAGGATGCCCTCACCCCAGGGTCTGCCAGCCATCCCCAGGGACTAAGACCATGGGCAATTTTCCCCAATCACATCTTTTCGCGTTTGTGGGATTGGTGTGAGGTGGTGGTGCAGGGTGATGGGCAATTCTCAAAGCATACGCAGTAGAGACACCTGTTTGAGTGTGCGTTTTAATCTGCTCCCTGAGGCGCATGCGTGTGTTCTTGCGTTTGCATGTTGAGCAGTGAGGACCTTTTCTGATGCCGCAGGTAGAAATTAATGACTCATCTTCACAGGAGCCCAGATAGTGTGATCGGTGACTATATAATCCTATAACCTGGTGGTCTAAGAGCGATGCACTTTTGTACATATTCCTATGAAAATATTTGAAGATTCAGGTTTTGTTTTTTTTCTGTGATTTTGTTTGGATCTGCAAATTTCTGAAGAGATGTTAAACAGTCAACCTTTATGCATAGATGACATAGAAATGTGTATTTGCATTGGCCTGGGAACCTGAGTGCTGGCATATGGGTAATGTGCAGTCCTAAACACGCGGGAATGCATTACTGTAATTCAGGAATAATTTATGTGCACACTTGGAATGATGTGTAATGAAATTTTGTCATTAAATATGATTGGAAATAATTTTAATGGCAAAGCAGAAATGAACATGTCATCAAAAAGGGGGGGGAGTAGTTGAGCAGGGTTCCAGCAGACAACTCTGCAATGGTCTAAACCTCAACCCAACACACACACACACACACACACACACACACACACAGGCATGCAAGATCGCGCAGGCGCGCACAAGCGCACATTGAAATGTACAGGGGCTGACATTCCCTGCTCACTGCGTCAAAGATTCTCAGAATCATAGAGATAGCCAGAGCCTGTCCTAAATTCACAAGCTCCTCTTGGGGGAAAGAGACCCACTGAAGATCTAGATGAATTGGGTGAGCATATCAGAGATTTCTGGAAAGATCGGCTTTGTGGGGCTGAGCTGGTCTACTTATATATTCTCACCCAAGACACATCTAAGCTGGAAGCACATAATTAACCAGAGAGATGCCTGCTCCCAGAATACAAGTTATGGCTTTTTCAGGACAGCCTTGAGCCTCAAGGATTAGAAATGTTTTGGTTGCGTGAGGGTCATAAATATCTGCTATATGAGCCAGGCTCTCTCTGTGTCATATGCCATATGCCAAGTGTTAAAAACAGGTATAAAAAAAGGTTCACATAGACGTGACAACAAAATGCCCAGCCCTAGCCCAGGTAGGGGCAATGCGACTGTGCTGGAAAATGTAAACTGGATGGATCAGCTCAGGAGGGCACTGAGGGCAGAATATGGCTTTCCTGGGGCAATTAGGTGTTCATGTAAAGATTCCCACCAACCCAGAAAGCTGTATTCAGGCTGATGGCAAGGTGAGGATCCTTAGGGGATTGAAGCAATTCATTTATCTGAGGCTCCCACCTGTCCACTCCATCCCCTCTTCACATCCCCTATAGCCTCCCCCTTCCCATCCCTAAACCTGCCTAGTAACCAGGATACAATTCCTGTGTCTCACCCTCTAGATAAAAGCTTTAGAGGGGGAGGAGGAAAGAGGGGGAGGAGGAAAGAGGAGTCTGCTGCAGTCTGCGTCACTGCTGCACTTCTGGCTGACTCACCGTAGGGAGGGAGGGAGGGAGGGGAGCAGGGAGAAACGCATACATGTATGACTGTACAGGTCTGCGTGGGTGCAGAAGAGAAGGCCCTGGCAAGCTGACACCTGGCGTGCTTTTTGGTGTTTGTTCTCTGAGAAGCAATGCATCATTTACTAATGACTTCTCTGTTTTAGCAAAAATTGTGCAAATGAAACTGTGGTTGGCAAGATTTTGGACAGGGTGCTGTCAGGATATGATGCCCGTCTGAGACCATATTTTGGAGGTAAGATACATCCAGACACAAGACATATGTTAAGTGGAACAAGCCACCCCTAGTCAATAAGCAGACCAGTGGCACTCCCCTGGCTCAATACTTCTGCCTCTCCCCTTCAGAGACCTGCAGTGAACACCACCAGGCCTCCAACCTCCAGGGGTAGAGCCAAAAGGCCTAATTTCCCCCACTTCTCTGCCTTCTGCCCTACCTCCGTACTCCTTTACAATTACACAGAGAAATCCTGAAGATCACTTCCTGGTGTGGCTGGAAAAGTGTTAACCCCAGAAATGGGTATGCTAAACAACACAAGTGTCATGCTTCTCAGGCTAGAATTTTCTGTCCCATCTATGCAGAGTAACATATTCTTCTACTTGAAAATACATTATGGGCACCCTGGACACACACCCTATTCAGCTAGTTCAAAATTAAGGGTATGGTCTCCTTTGTGTTGTCTACTTCACCTACCCACCGGGTCCTCTGTATACTCCCTAAACCCCACCAAGTTCATTTTATTCAACACACTCCAGGCAACGTGATCTTTATAAATCCAGCCTGATCGCCTCAGGAACTTTTGATGGCTTTATTTAACTGACAAATAAAATTTAAACTCAGTACTTCAGCACTCAGACCTCGAGCACAGAGATGAGAAATGGCAAATAAACTGATGCTTGAACCTCCAGGAAGCCAATACATCAGTTTATCTTTATATCTCTACAAGACCACCACCACCAACACACACACACACACACACACACACACACACACACGCACACACACACACACACCTGTAAAAGGCAAATGGCGTGAGTCACAGAATTTATAAGGGACAGGCAACCCACAGAATAGGAATAGCATCCTCTAGCCCAAGGAATGCCCAATAAACCTAGACCAAGGACAAACAAAAGGAGCTACATTAGAGATTAGCCACGTTTCTGCTCAATGGAGCAGAAAAGAAGCAAAAACAAACAAAAGAGTGAATGACTAAGTCAGTGAAAGCACTCCACTTCCCGCAGGTGGTAGTAGAGCCCCCCATTCTAAAGGATTAATGAGTGCTAATGGTTAACATTTGTACATATGAATAGAGAAAGGTCCTCTGAATACACAATGCCTCCACCCTAAAGGGTTTACAACTGTGGGGGATTTCCTTTGTAGTAGACCTTTTGGGGGAGAGGGGTGGAAGGCTGTGATTTATCTGAGGAGGCACATTGAAAACCAAGGTGGCCTCCCTGGGCTAAGCTTGGAGGTGGGACATCTCTCTCATGTCCCCTTTGCTGTGAGCTCCTTCCATGAAGACAGAATGTTCAACCCCAGGATCCAAGGTGAGTATGCACTGGGACTGGTAAGGAGTGAAGAGGGCAGAAGGAAAGCTCTTTTCAATATAGGAATTCAGGTGTTAGGGCACAACCAGCATCCCATTTCATGACACAGGTTTTTGATCAGTTGCACCAAGCACCAGAGGGTGGGTGTCAAGAGAGTAGCTATTACGTTTTCTCTTTTCCTCATTCTCTTGTTTCTCAGCAAAGGCTGACCAATATCCATTTCAGTATATTGCAATGAGATGCCATCTCTGTAGGCACCCAGGGTTAGGGATAAGGAGTAGGGCAAGGACCAACCTCTGGGGATTGTCAGATGTGGCTGGTTCACAATACATCCATATTTTGAGCTGATTTGCATTTGTTTACACCTGATGCTTAGCATCTGACAAACTCCTCATCAGCTTTATGAATATGCAGACTAGGGCATATGAGAAAGATGGATTCCTTATTTGGCCAAATAGTATATGAAGGTAGGAGGGCTAGAATAACACTGGACCTTCTAACATTTAGACAGGAGACACTATAGGTTTTAAATCTGGGGCTGTTGTATTGTGAGGAGAAACAATCAGTGGGATATATGAGTTAGGGGATTCAAGGTTGAGGGAACCAGAACTCTCTGTAAAGCCTCCCACTAGACAAGAGTCAGATTCCCCTTTGTGTCTGAAATGAAGTAGAATTTCAAGCCCCACCCACCCCCAGGCATACACACCCCTAATGCAGAGACCACACCTAACTGGGTCAGGTTCAGATGGGAGCCTTATTATATCTTTGAGAAGGAGAGGAAGAGGAGGAAGAGGAGGAAGAGGAGCCAGGGAAAATTAACAAAGCTGCTTCCTTCTGGGCAAGAGAAGTTGACTCCACAGTGTTTCCAAATGCAAATCCTTGAGGGGCTTTGTCTAGCCCAGCACCTGGCATGACATAGGTGTGGAATGAAGGAATGAATGGGATATCGTCATCATTCCTTCATTTATTTGTCTTCCTCTAGTATTCTGATGGATTCTAGAGAGGAAGAAGAGGTGAGGCAACACAGTTTCCCAGAGGGAAGGAAGTGGTTACCCCTTCCACTTTTCCTGCCTTCCTGAGCCCATCAGGAGTGACAACAATGGGATATGGGGCTGAGGCCATCACCCCAGAGAGAACACTTAGACACCTTATATGGAAGCTTCTTATTCCCATTTTCTTATGCTTTTAGGGATGTGGGATACCTTAGCTCTCATCTTGATCACTGCTAGCACATAAGGTGTCCCCTCTAGGTGGATATAATATAAATAAGTCTCAGACTATATCCCTAAGCCAGAACACATGACTTGATGACTGTATTTTAGCTCTCACTTGCCCCTTCAACTGGGACCCCTTGAACATGGTTATGCTCTATAGGAGATAGAGTTGCCTGAGTGGCACTGACTGGTCTAGGATAAGAAGTCTGACAGTGCAGTGAGGTGATGAGGGGATAACTGCCTGGCCTCTTTGGGGCTTGATAATTGCCTAACACAGCATCCATCCTCTGAAGGCATGTGGGGAACCTGAAAGTCTGTAATAAAGAATATCATTTCTAGAAACCCCTGTCACTAGAATACTTTCCTGGAGATTTCTCACAATAAACCTGGGTGCTAGAACCTGGGCTATGACCTCACACAGAGGCTCATTTACTTCTCAGCTGACATGCATATGCTGATTCCCAGTACACTTTGCTTTTTTGAAGAACTGGGATAGTAATAACACATTTGCTACTTAGAAGCTGAGCTTCTGGTTAGTCAGCCTTCAGTGAAACCAACAGGCTGAACTGCAGGTGTCATACATGCTTCCATAGCAGCAGTGTTATGTAATACACATAGAATAATGACAGCTGTGGGACTTGGTGAAGGCAGCTTTGAGCCAATAAGGAAACAATAAAAATGCATTTTTTTTCACAATACCTTATAATTTTATATATATTTTCACATTCCTAATCACATTTGAGTGGGCAGCACTCAGACCTAGGTCTGAAAAAGAAAGCCAGGAGGCAGAAACACACACACACACACACACACACACACACACACACTAACATACACAAACATTCAATACACTGATAAATTTACTCACCCATATATACATACTGACATGCACTCACATGCACATGCTCATACATTCACATATGTGCATGAACATAGCTAACCATGCACACACAAACATGCTCATGTCCACACAAATTCACTCACACACATACTTAAACATTTACACACATGAAATAATGCATTCGCTCACATATACATCCACATTAACACACATACAAACAAACATACTCATATATTCATTCATACATGAGCATACTCATTCACACACACACAAACATGTCCACATATTTACCAACTCACACAAACATCCTCATACATAAACATGCTCACTCATTAATACATATAGACATCAGCATCCACAAATGCACATATTAACATGCTCACAATTCACTGATACCTACACAGTGATATACTAACACATATGAATTTGCTCATGAACTCACTTGCATCTCAGCATGACCATAGGTTTATTCACACACAACCACACTTATGTAGACTCACACTTAATTACACTCACAGACATGTTCACACATTCACTCAAGTACATAAATATGCTTACATACACTCACACTTATATACTCACATATACACTGAGTGGCCAGATTATTATGATCTCTGAGCACATAATAATCTGGCCACTCAGTGTATATCCTATATAATAAAAGGCTAATATGCAAATTGTCCTCTCTACCAACCCATGTTCCCTCCTTCTGGCCAGGCTGGCTGGACCCCACCCATGCACAAATTCATGCACCGAGCCTCTAATTTATATATATATATATATATATATATATATATATATATATATATATATATATATATATCTCACACTCTCTGAGTGGCCAGATTATTTTCAGAGATCATAATAATCTGGCCACTCAGTGTATATGGTGAATATGAGTATATAATAATGATAACTTATTGCAGTTATTTGTTGCATCTGAACAAGGTCACACACACAAACTTTCACATATTCACTCATACAGACACATACAATCACACACTTACATCCCCAAATATTCACTCACATACATAGAGTCACTCATGCAAAAATGCTCATAAAAGTACACATTTATACATTCCCTCCTATAAGCACTTAACATACTAACACAGACTCACACATGAACATACTCATACATGTGAACAGATACATTGACTCAACACACAAACATACCCACATACACTCATGTAAAGACAACTTTACACACACAAACGTGACCATGTATTCACTCACACACGGACATGCTGACAAATATACTAATATGTGAACAGTCTCACACAGACAACCCATATTTTCTCCCACACAGTACACTCAATTAAATACAAATGGTCATACATTCATTTACTCATAAATGTGCTCTTACATTTATTGACTTGCATAGCTTCATTCACACATCCACATGTCATATATACACTAACATGAATACACTCATACTTATGGAAATGCTCACACATTCACTCCCTCAAAAACATTTAAATAATATTGAAATATTCATACATGTAAACATGTTCATATTTACTCACATATGTACATGCTCACACAGTCACTCATACACAAAGATTCTCGCATAAATGAAAATACAAATTCATGTACAGACAAACTCACAAATGCAAAGATGTTCATGTATTCACTTGCACATTCACACATTCACTTTCACATATCAACATGCCTACATGATTGCATGTGCTTACATATTTACTCACATGCAATATATGCAAACACAAATATATTCACACATTCACGCATATGAATACACACAGATTCACTCATATACATGGATATACTCACATAAACATATTCACATACACACACACACACACAGATTAAGTTCCCAAGTACACCCATGCTCACACATTTCTTTGCATGTTAACAAACTCACATAACACTCATAGTCACACATTCACTCATTCACACACAAATATTCATTTGCACATGAACCCACTCATAGATTCACTCCCATACAACATGCCTACATACATGTATATGTGCTCACAGCACACACTGAAGCACACAATCATGCTCATGCATTCTCTCACACACATACACTTATGTACACACTAACACATTCACCTACACATGAACACACTCACATATTTACTCATCCCTGTGATTATGCTCACATAAACTCATGTGCACAGCTCACACGTTCATTCACACAAAGACACGCATTCCCTCACACATGGACACACCCACATGCACTCATACAAATATTATACACATCAAAAATCTTAGCTCTTAGTTTTGGGCTTATTGCTCCTTAGTTTTTATCAGGAAAACATTTAAAAGAAGAGTGCTTTGCCAACTTATTTTCTCTTTATTTTTCCCGAATTTCTTCCTTTTTAGTGTAACAGGGGCCAGGCCCTGCTTTAAGTTCTTGTCCTGCATTAACTATGAGACCAGTGCTTAAATGATCTTCATTTTACCCATGAGGAAACTAAGGCTCAGAGAGGTTAGGTAACTTATTCAAGGTCCCACAGCTAGTAAGTGCCAAAATGGGGTTCAAAACCAGGCAGTCTGGCTCCTGAGTTCAGACTCTTACCTTTTATCTTACCCTACATGTAATATTGTCTTCCTATATTGCAGGTGACCCTTTGCCTGTGGGAATATCTATGTATGTCTCCAATATTGACCACATCTCAGAAGTAACTATGGTAAGTATGTCAGCTCCAGCCATAAGACTGGGGACAAAGTACATGGAACAGTGGGCAAGATCATAAGCCAACTCCAGTTGTTCTGACCTGCAACATAGCTCATATTTAGAAATAGTAGTTTTTAGAAACTACAACCACTTGGAATTGAAAAAAATAAATCCAGATGGATTCTAGACTTAAAAAGGCTTATGAAGTTTCTAAAAGATAATATAGGATACTGTGTTTACACCTTTATGGTAGATAAGGACTTAAAAAAAACACATAAAACACAAACCATAAAAATAAACACTGTTAACTTCAATTATATAAAATTATGTTTAGCCAAAACTTTTGGAATTTCTGTTTTGCAAAAAACAAACAAACAAAACAAAAAGAAAAACCAGGAGCAAGTAGTGATAATCCCTTCCTTTGGTGTCCACATAAACCAGAAACCTCTCTTTAATTTCACACACAAAGGAGCAGTGGTTTGATTTTATGTCATACAAAAGGGAAGATGGGTGGAGACCCCTGTATACTGTATTTCTTATGCCTGCATACATACACACGCTCTCTGAGAATGAAAAGTTGGACACCCTCGCTCACAATTGAGATTTACCTTTCTTTCCCCAGGACTCTAAGGTCACGATGTTTTTTCTTCAAACCTGGAAAGATCCACGTCTAGCATACTGTGAGACCAACTTAAACCTGACTCTAGACTATCGTATGGCTGACAAGTTGTGGGTTCCCGACTGCTACTTTCTAAATAGCAAGGATACCCCTGTGCATGACATGAGTGTGGAAAATCGTATGTTTCAGCTTCACCCAGATGGAACGGTGCATTATGGCATGCGGTGAGTTCCCCAGGGGTCAGGGGACAGGCTTCATAATTTCCACTGAATATCCCATGAATGTACTCTAAGGGACACACAGAGAATCCTGTTGCTCTTCAAACCTGTCTTGCACTGACCATTCATTCACCCTATTTTCCACAGACATCCTTGGCTATCCTGTCTCCACACCTTGACTTCTGCTGTTGCTTCTGTCTGGAGTGGCCCTTTCCATGAGTCCAAATCTTTGCCATCATTCAGTTGCTAACTCAAATGCCTTCTTTGTCAATAAATCCTCCTTGATTCTCACTGGAAGCTCTATCCCTCTGCCTTAGCATTGTAGACATTCTGTTATTTATCTTTGTGTATTTTCTTTCCCATGCAGTGAGGGAGGGAAATCATATAAATTTTGAAGTCCATACAGTAAGGGAGGGGCCTGAGCTATGCCATTGGTCATATTTGTATTATATAGAGACCCAGAGGTATGCAGTATGGCTTTGTTGTCTGTGGCTTTGCATGCACAGAATGTGTGCATGCTAGAGCTCCTCACTGGTCCATATATAACATTGCAGACAGCCACCAAGGCTCTCCTCACAGTGTCATCTCTTACAAACCATCACTTAAGCATAAGAGAGAAATTTAGCTCAGAAAATTTCCCCAAGAGGTAGCTGCCAGGGTTCAGCTCTATTTCTGAGTCTCTCTTTATCTAGGGTACTCCTGCTCTGTCTCTTTTTTCCCTTTTATTTACCCATCCACTGTCCCATGGAACTAGTTGCTGGAGTCAGAGAATAACAAAGCTTGCATGGAACAAGACACTGATCACACTTGTTTCATTTAAAGGGGACTTCAGCTGATTAGTACTGCATGGAAGATTCATAAAAAGGACACACACAAAAAATAAAAATAAAAATAAAAACAAACCTACCCACTGTGTAAAATAGAAATAACTTCAAAAGTTGAAAGGAACTAGGCTGGGGTTAGCAGCTGGGAATGGTAGGATAAGGGCTGGAGCAGAGCCCCCCCCCCCCCCAGCTGAGATAACACAGAGCTTTTAAAACTATCCTGTTCGCAGTGGTCACTTCTCTCATTTCCCAAGCTTCTTCAAGATTCCACTTCAGATTCCTCTCATGGATCCAACACAGGGCTACTTGAAGCCTCTGCCCAACACTTCATGGCCCACTTCAGATATGTTGATTCCTCCTACCCATTTATATCCACTGACATTTTGCTAGTTCACAGTATCCTCAAAGTCAGATACACAAAGATGAGAGCACTGTGGGGTGTGAACAGCTTTCATGGCCAAAGATGAGTCTGGGCCATCTATACCTGAGGACTTCATGTGAGCACTGCACAGCAGATGTGGAGCTTTAGCTGCTTCAATACAGCAGTTTTCTCTTGGGAGTCTTGAGCAAAAAATGTCCCTTTTCTGTCTCTGCATTCAGTTTCCTCAAGCACCCTTCTTCTGACATCCTGAGGTGTCCTGACATGCCACACATGTATTATTAGTTCAAGTCAGGCCATATCTCTTGGTTTCTTTGTCACATACAATGTCTCTCTCTCATCCTTACATAATTATACCTCATCTTACCTTAAGGAAGGAAGGAAGAAGGAAGGAAGGAAGGAAGGAAGGAAGGAAGGAAGGAAGGAAGGAAGGAAGGAAGGAAGGAGAGAGGGAGGGAGGGCTCAGCTCTAGTGTAGGAAGTACAGGAAGGTGTTGGACAGGTCAGTCCTTGGGATACCTCTCCTTCCCCACCCCTTCAATGTTCTCACTTTGCCTGGGCTAGACTCACTTTTCCTTTGCTTTTGCTTTTCCCTTGCAGACTCACTACCACAGCATCTTGTTCTATGGATCTTCAGAAATACCCTTTGGACAAACAGACCTGCAAGCTGGAGGTGGAGAGCTGTAAGTCTATCTCCCATAGCCCCTTCTTCGCTGCCTGTGGCCATCAGGAAACTAAAGACAGACTCTATAGTGAGAGGAATGGCATATCTCCCCTACTCCCAGCCTCCCTGTCTCTGTTCTCATAGATTAGATTAGATAGATAGATAGATAGATAGATAGATAGATAGATAGATAGATCTGAGAGAAGGTGTACTTTAGGGTGTAAATAGTCCCATGGGAAAATTGTACCATGCTATTGGGAAATTATGCATCAGCTAGTGGGTAGAAACACATTGCTGTGCTTTCCTTCCTGGCAAAATACAAACAAACACAAAAACAAAAACCAACCCTCCAAACTGAGAGTTCCCTTTCCAAGTGTCCCCTCCCCAAAACTCAGACTCAGCAAAACACAAAGGAACCCCCCCACCCCCCCAAAATGCAGGTTCCAACCATCCTTTGATTCCACAGATTATGCTGGTATGAAATCTACCTTTCCCTGCTCTCTGAGATTGAATAACTATGTTACTGTTATTCTCTGTTTCCCAGATGGTTACACAGTTGAAGACATCATGTTATACTGGGAAGGTGATGAGAATGCCATCCAGGGGACTGAAAAGATAGAGAACCCTCAGTTCACCCTCCTGGGAAAGAAAGTAACTAGAAATGAGGAGGTTTTCTACACAGGTGGGTCTGGCTGCTTCCTTGTCTCCTATCTCTTGTCTCTTTGGTATCCTGGTAAACTCCTGGGGACCTCTGCCTTGAACCTCTACACTCTGCACAGCCTCCTTTACTATTTTTTTCTGATTCTGGAACCTTGCAAAAACACCATTCATAAAGTCCCTGTGACTTACTCTCCGCAAATAAGAAAATGGCTGTGGAAGCACTTGGCCAAATTTAACACTCACTCCACAGGTATTAAGGATTCATGCTTATGTTGATAAAAGCAGGCCTCCTCTCAGGGCCAGCCCCTCACCCTCCATCTGTTTGAAGCTTGAAATATGTCATGTCTCTCCAAGTTTTAAACTTTAGTTGAAATGGAGGAAGGGAGAAAGGAAGAAGGAAAAAGCAGATTTGCTATGCCATATTGGCCTACAGACACATGCCATTGTCACTGTCCTTAAGGCAGCAAATGTGGTCTGTTTGGCAGACAACCTAGGATATAGTATTAGAAAATGAACTGCCCATTGATTTCCCTTCCTCTATCCTGTACCTCACCCTGAAAATCCCCTTAGCCCTGCCACCCTGATACCAGTATGTCTCTTTGCCAGGTTCCTATGTGCGACTTGTACTGAAATTCATGATCCAGAGGAAAATTATCCACTACCTTGTTCAGGTCTATTGGCCTACTATCATCGTCACTATTTCCTCTTGGGTGACGTTTTGGATGAACTATGAATCTTCTGTAGCCAGGATGACAATCGGTAGGTCCTGTCCTCCCTCTCCCCCCAATCCCAGAGAGGAAAAGCTGAGAGTAAGGGAAGAGTACTAGGAACAGTGTGTAACTACACAGGCAAGGAAACAAGATAAGTCCTACCCAACAAACATTTGTACAGGTACTTAGCTAATACCCAGCAGAGAGACCAACAGGTGTGAAAAAAAATCAGGGCTGGGGTCTTCATGTGTTGGGCCCAAAGTACCAGAATTCATTATTTTCTGGATATATAGTAGATGAATGGACAAGTCATAAATGTAGATCAGAACTGCAATACAACAGACATTGATTAAGCAACATATCAAAATGCCCTGCTAGGCAGCAGAGGACTATTAAATGAGCTGCCCTCAATGAGTATTTAGTGGAAGACCAAGACAGATGCCACTGGAATCCAGAGGAGGAAATGACCAAGTTTTGTTGTTGTTATTGCTGTGTTTTTTTTTGTTTGTTTGTTTTTGTTTTGCTTTTAGCTAAAACTTCACCAAGAAACTGTTGCATGAACTGGGTTTTCAAAACTTGTAGGAGATAGAGGCACAAGACTTGCCATTCCCTAAAAGAAGAAATAAATTGATTAAAGGCCCAGGGGCCCTAAAAGGGGGACTAAATCATAAAGTGAAGCAGCCAGAGCAGCAGCTGGGGAAGAGTAACGGAAAGAAAACTTGGTTTGACCTGGAAAGACCTTAAAATGTAGTTTAAACAGTTGGAATTTCATGGCTAAGCAATGTGGAGCATCAAAGTTTTTTTTTTTTAGCAGTAACAAGGAGGAGCGTAAGAAATCAACTCCTAAGTATATCTGGCCTTACCTCAAAGAAAGCAGTGTGACTTAGATCCAGGTCTGGTTTTTCCTTCACCATCTTTGAGGCAAACTCTTTAGTCTCCTTCCTTAGGAACACATGCTATACTAGAACTTTATATTGCTGTAATATTTTAGGACTCACAAAACCTTCTAGGGATGTGATATCATTTAGTATTGAGGAACTAAAGAAAAGTATATGGACTAGAAGGCAAAGGATAAGGACCACCCTGTAGGGTAAAATAAATAGGGCTGGAGATGTAAATCACTGTGAAATAATAGCTAGAGAATTTTTACTTGATCCTAAGAGCAATAGGAAGTCACTGAAACATTGAAACACAGACTCGGTATAAAGATGGGGAGGAAAAAAAGAGCAAAAGTCCTAGGCTTATAGAGCTGAAGGCCTTTTTTTGCTGAGAACCCTCCCCACCACAGAAATTTTATTTGCTCTCTTTCTATACTATGTGAGTCCAATGGCTTGCCAAGAACTTCAGCCACCTATGCCATGTTGTTTATAGGTCTGACTTCAATGTTCATCCTGCACACCATCAATTCACACCTGCGGGAAAAACTGCCTGAATTCTCTTGTATCAAGGCTATTGACATCTATATGGTTGTCTGCTTCATCTTTGTGTTCCTGTCCTTGCTGGAATATGTCTACATCAACTATCTTCTCTATAGCCGAAGAGAAAGTAGTCGCTGTTATAGGCTGTGCAGAAGAGCCCGAAAAATCATGGACCAATATCGCTACCAGCTGGAACCAGAGCTGCAGGTTTGACATTTTGACTGATAATAAGCTTTTCTTGAGTGCCTCTTTAGCCTAAGCTTGGCACTTGACCCTTCACATTTCATAGTAATTTCTTTCACACACACACACACACACACACACACACACAGCAGATAACAAAGAAGTAGAAAAATTTATTATCACTTCTCTACAGGTTAAGTCATTGTCCAAGGTCACAAGGCTTGTAAGTGGCAGAGCTAGATTTCTCCAGACATTTGCTCTTCAAATCCAGTCCACTTAGCATGCTTCCAGGGCAAGCGATGGAGTCAGAGCAAAAGGGAGTATAGGGAGGTTGAAAGAGAAAAAAACAGACAACAGAGAGGCTGGCCTACCCTTCCTTCCTTTGCTTTTCTGACTCCCAAAGCCATGCTGAGGCTTTTGCTACTGGTGGTATATTAATGTCTAGCACCATCCCTTCCTTCATAGGGAGCCAAATCTTAACTGCCTGAAGAGGCCTTGCCTTTGTTCACTACACAACACTCCAGAGGGAGCAGCTGCCTCAGAGTTACACAGATTTGGCAGCCACCAGGGACTCCCTTTACATTCTAACAGCCTCTTGGTCCTGTTCCTCAGCCCGATGTGTGCGAGAGAAGCCTGGAAGAGGAGATTCTGACAGTCGAACAGATCACAAGTGCTCCTCCCTCCCCGCAAGTGCTTATTCATGTAGGATGTGAATCTGCTGACTTTATGTGTCTACCCACTGTTTCCTCAAAAGATGCCCAGTTTGACATCAAAGACGAAAGTGGCTCTCCTCTCCCTAGATCAGTGCAGGCCCACTCAGCAAGCCCAGAAAGTCTTATCTCTTTGACCCTCATCTCAGACCTGGTCCCTCTGGCCACCTCAGAAAGCCTCAGCTCACTGTCTTCGCTCTCACTCCAGTCTTGGCTGGCCACTGAAGAAAGCCTGAATGATCTCTCCTCCACCTCTGAGCAGACACTGCACAGCTGTGACTCTCACGTTAATGGTTTCGAGACTGATGACAGTGTTATTCCTACAAAAATCTACAATCCTGGTGAGGCCCATTGCCATGCTGAGACCTTCTGTTATCCAGAAGACCCTAAAGAGAGCTACAACTTGGATGACAACCATGGCTATGGCCCCAATAGAAAGCATCTGCTCATCCATAGCCAGAGGTGTGTGCCAGAAGCAATCTGTGAGCCTGATAACATGCATAGATGCCGTGAGGAGTTCCTTCACTTGCCTGGTGACATCAACATTCAACAAGACTACCTTGACGTCCAGAACCAACTGCAGCATGATGATGACGCTACCTGGAGCCATGATGATGATGACGACAATTTCATGGGTTTTGATGAAGATGAGGACAGTAGTTCAGAATCTGATGATAGTTGCCCCCCAAGCCCTGGGTACTCCTGCAGGGAAAGGCTTTTTTCTGACATCTTTGACCCTGACTACATTCCTAATATTGATAAGTGGTGCCGTATCCTCTTCCCTCTTGCCTTTGTGGTGTTCAACATTATTTACTGGCCATACCATAGCTTTTAGTCCCATACTGCCTCAGAGTAACAGGGACACTGTGTTGTGCTCCTTTCACAGTTTCTTTTGGTTCCATTTTGCCTTCTTTCCTTTGTTCATTTAATTTTGGTTATTTGGACAATCAAATCAGTTCTACCTTTCTCTTTATAAATATGAGGTGGTGAGTAGTTGGTAATAACGTGTTCTGGCTGGAAAGAAAGGGATTGAGAAAAAGAGGTCAATCCTAACTGATTTTTCTTTTTTACTGGAAGACTGCCACCTTTTCAAATATTTCTAATATCTAATAAATACAGAAAAGCCCCTGAAAATATTTAGAGGACAGAGAGGAGCCAGCTTGAGGGAAAGAGGAAGGAGCTGAGCCATGTGCACAAACATTGCTAGGCACTTTTTTGTCCCCCTAAAGTGTTGAATTTTCTTTTTCATTACTTTTTTTCTTATACTTTTTTTTTTTCCCCTTGTGGTTAGGATCCTTGCTCACCTGTTGCTTAGGGTTTTATGGGAGAAAGTCAAGCTTGATTGGGCTAGGACGCATAGGGGAAGAGCTAGCTATGGCTTGGAAGTGTAGAAGACTGGTTCTAGGAAAACTGAGGACTTTTGAAAGTGCCTTTTTTGCACTATTTTTGTTTTATTTTGATTATGTTGTTGTAGCACAGGATTGGGAATGGAATGTGGGTGGGTAGTTAGGGGTGCTGAGTGAGATGTCAGGGTGAGAGAGCATGTTTCCAGCAGGAGCTTGTGAGGTGCTGAGTAATGTCAAGTTGGAGATTACTCAAATTGAACTGGCATCTTTGGAGGGGTTGGAACTTCTCTTATCTATATCTCTGCTCCAGAATGATTGACAATAGGGACTTAGTACATGTTTCTAGGTCAGATGCTGATTTGAACACTAGTCATAGAACAAGTACTGGTGAATGAAGATTAGGGTTAGAAAAGTTCTGACCTGCTACTTCACCATCTGATCTAGAATAGCAGATGAACAACTGTTGTGAATCTCTATACTAATCCTTTATATTTGTCCAATGTAGTGTTAATGAACTCACTGAACCATCATATCGTCAGACCCTCACAGGAGCCCTGTGAGCCAGAGAAGGCAAAGCACATTGTCCCAATGTTCCGAGGGGAGAAAATGGAGCTTGAGAACATGCAGCCAGTAAGTGGTAAAGCCACACCACTCACTCTCCCTTCTTGTCCCCTTAACTTTTTCAACTGAGGCACTCCATTTCCCCCCCCCCTCCACTTTACAAAAGGGGATGCTCCATTAGGTTCTGCTAGGCACCAGACCTCATTCTATAGCACCTGGAGCATTTCTGCAGGAAGAGGCTGGTGACCAGTGTGAACACATGGAATATGCCCACTCGCTTGGGCTTCTAAAGGAAGTATAAATTAGTTTGTGCTCCAATGTGCCAAACAACTCCAACTCATTTGATTGAGGCCATGGAGGAACAAGATTTGCAAAGCACTCAGCATATAGTTCTCCTTTCTTCTTAGGCAGCCTCCCCTGCAATCCCTCAGCCACCTCCTCTTTTAACTGTGTTTCTGTGTTTGTTTCTGTGTATACCAGTGTGTGTGTGTGTGTGCATCAAGGTAGTTCTATGTGCACGTACAACTATTTGAAAAGTTGTATAGCTATATGTATATCAGTGTAAATCTCTATTGGTGTGTATAAGAATATATATATATATATATATATATATATATATATATATATATATATATATATGGATAAATATGTGTGTGTGTGTGTACCACTATGAAAGAGTGTGTAATATTGTGATTTATGTATGTATGTGCTTGTGTGTACATACATGGGTATATTTTGTGTGTAGGTCTAAGTGCACATGTGCATACTTATGCTTATTTATCTGACTTGAATGGGTGTGAAAGAAAATACACCTGAAAGCATATGTATTTCTTGTTGGTGGCTCTTCTATTGTAGAATCAACAGAATTTCCTTGGCCTGTTCCCACATGAAGGGGAAGGTGTCTATTTGGCCAGGCTGATTAACTGCTTTCCAATTCCTGTTTCAGGGAGTGGCTCCTCACCTTCTCCCTCCACCCATTTGTGCTATCTCCTGGATAGAAGACACAGAAGTGAATGTAGTCCTATAGTCTTGGGGAGTGATAATTTAGTGCCTCGAGGCAGGAATTGCTCAATCATGGGATAAGTAGGGAGTTCAGAGCATTTTGTTTTGTCCTGGAAGGTGCATTGAGAACAGAAATATGATATAAAGAACTAAAGAACTATAGAGAAGGTTGTATATAGCCTTGATAACTCATCCTTTTATTTCAACCACCTTGTAAGCCTGACCTTGGAGTAAGCCCCAAGCAGTTTGGTGATATGAGGAAATGGCCCAGGGAATTGGCTACTAACAGCTGGATACAGAGAACCAAAGGTACCTGGGAGATGGCTGCAGGCATGGACTGTGGTGGTGGGTCCATTCAGAGGCAGGAGTGCTTTAGTAGCCTCTCTGGGATGGACGGTTGTTGATAAACTTCAGCCTTGGATTTGGAACTTCTTCTTTCTATCCCCTCCAGGGAAAAAGATAGTGAGAGGGGTGAGAAGGCTAACCAAGAAGAGAAGTACGAAAGGTCCCAGGGACTGCCTGCCCAAATCAACCCATTTTGTCACCTCCCCTCTTGTTTTCTATAGATACAGCATAGAAATATAGCCTTCTACACATACACACCCACAGAGATCTACACAGTCATACACACATGATGCACATGTTGGTCACTCACCCTCAGCAGTATATACATATACTAGTACACACAGAGACATACACAAATACACAGCCACAAACACAGTCACAATCATGTGTTTACACTTGTACACACACACACACACACACACACACACACACACATCTTGTAAGACAGATTTAAAACAAGAAAGTTGCCCCTGGAAAGTCTAATATTGTTTCTTTATTTTTGGACACCCCTCACAGAGAGGTCCAGGCTGGAGAGGGAGCAATGACCCTACATGTGAAGCTCCCAACATGGCTACAGAAAGACTTAAATATTGTTTGGTTGATTTGGATTTGGGTTTCCTGGAGGGCCTTTGAGCCCTATGGGAGGCAAGCAGTTCATTTAGGGTGAGGTCATACTAGTGAAAGAGACTAGATCAGTGGGGACAAAAAATGGGATTTAAAGTGTATCCAGCAGCAATGCACAGGAAAACGTCAAAGCACAGAAGAGTAGAGAGGCCAGTTGTAAATATCTATAGATCCACATAGCTAGATATAATAGTATATCTTAAAAAGAATATATTGCCCTAATGTGCTGCAATGTGTTGAACTGTACTGCAACTCACACTGTGTGAGGCTAAGTGTCAAGGTGAGGTGGAGATCTGGCAATGGTACCTTGTGAGTTTGCCATAGACTTGGTCATTTTAGCTTGAAAATTGCCAGATCACCCCTTGTCATGTTCAATGTGTGTTCTGTCTTCAGCATCATTATTGAGCCCCATCCTTAGCTGTCCCCAGTGGTACAGGCACACCTTCTCCAGCTGGCTGCCTATATCCCCTCCTACTCCATACCTCACACTAAGTAACTCTGGAAGTGCAGAGCATCCAGTAGGGCACTCCTGGGGTTTGGCACATGGAGTTTTCTCAGCCCCAACCAGAGAGTGCTTGTGGCAATAGATCATTTTGATCTTTGACAGAGGGAAAGGTGTTGCTAAGTCTGGGATGGAGCAACCCCCACTTAATCCTCTACCCATTTTCCCTTTCTTTTCCTCGCATGAGCTATCATGTTAACTTTCGCCTTCAAATACCCTCTCCATCACTACCATGGGAAAGACAACCTCTGTCTCTTCAAAGTGTCATTTTATTATGTTTATGTGGGACATGTTTCCTACCAAATTCTCGCCTGTTCCATCTGCCACTGTGGGGTGCTTTGCAGAACTAACAGAGGAGCTGTTGAGTCTTACTAGAGCTTGTCAAATGTATTCTTACAATCTATGTCATCTTGTTAATAGCAATGCTGAAAAGTCTTTGTATATTTAGAGTTGTGTTTTGCTGAGACTGTGGTCATTCCTTATTCTGTACACAAAAGAGCTAACTAACCCTCTGAGCTATTAACTAATGAATGCATTTGCTAAGTTATCCCCCAATATGGTACCCTATTATGGTGCTGAGCATCAAAAGAAATTGTGACTTGTCCTAAAAAGTTCATTGTGTTCATGCTTGCTGTATCGTGTCCTGTGATCAATATGAAATCTTTATTATCAGTGTTGGGTTTTCAGGGAGGGAGGGAGGGGTGTTACAGTGTCACCCTCAAATACTTCAATTATGAAAAAGCCCCAGTTTGTCTGCTGACTCAACATGTGTAAGACTTTGCACCCACCATCTTGTCAGATTGTGTCCCTGGGGACAGTAGTCATCAGCAGAACTGAAGGTGCCCATGTGTAGTTCAACTGACCACAGTGCCAAGGAATTGTTCATAAGCCAGCCAATGCAGTGTCATTCTGGAGGAAGATGAAGTACAGTAAAACTACACATTTACACATGTACTTCTTCAGGAGAAGTGCTGGGTCCAGGCGATGAAAACCAAGAAAGGAGGAGGACTAAGATCCATGTGCCCTGGATGGCCTGACCCACAAAAGGATACAGAGCAGCAGAGGCACCACAAGATGACATGGTGCCCTTTGTCCTTATTAAATGTAAATTCTTGCATGAAAAAGAATTGACCAGTTCTGAATTTACAAAAATGAAATCATAAAGAAACAAAATTATGCTTCTGAAAATTATGATGAAATAAAGATTTGTAAATATCCAAAAGATTAAAATAATAAATAAATATATAATGGCAAATATGTTTATGGGTCATTGTGTTTCCTCTCTGTTGAGTTAGGAGGGAGCTTTATTTGAGCCCTGGAAACTCCTTTTTTTAAAAGTATTTTATTGATTTTTTACAGAGAGGAAGGGAGAGGTATAGAAAGTTAGAAACATTAATGTGAGAGTAACATTGATCAGCTGCCTCCTGCACACCCCCTACTGGGGATGTGCTCGCAACCCAGGTACATGCCCTTGACCGGAATCGAACCCGGGACCCTTGAGTCCGCAGGCCGACACTCTATCCACTGAGCCAAATCAGTTTTGGCAAGCCCTGGAAACTTCTTATTTCTATTGCTCACCTTCCCCTTCCCCTTCCCCTGGCTTTGCGCATTGTCCTCCTCATACCCTGGGACATTTGAAACCAGGGTTTTTGAGCAGAAGGGAAATGGTAATGTCACAGTTAATAGTAAAATTAGTTTATACTTTTGCACAAACTATTCTAATCATTTTAAACAAAAGTATTTTAAAACACAGCAAGCCATTGTGGTGCCAAAATACAATAAGGGCATTTATTTCCATTGGCAGGTCTTTATAATTTTTTAAATGTCCTTGGCTGATGTAGACCTGCAGAATAGAGAGCAAGAAAACCCTGTGACGGTGAAAAGAGAACATCATATTCAAGTTTTTGTAAGTTTGCAGAGTCTCATTAAAATGCCATGTTGTATTGGCCTAGCCAGTGGCCATGGAGGGGGGTGGGGGCATATGTAGGGAGGGGTTTGGGATGGGAATGGGAGGATAAGGACAATTATGTGAGACCATAATCAATAAAATAAATAAATAAATTATTAAAAATAAATAAATAAATAAATAAATAGAGTGAGGAAAAAAATAAAATAAAATAATAAAATAAAATAAAATGCCATGTTGGCCTGCCTGATGTGGCTCAGCAGTTGAGTGTCATGGAAGTGTCTTAATGAAGTCCCTGTATCATCAAAATGGGATTTGAACCTCCTGATTAGAAAGGCATCAGTCTGGCAGTCTCAGTCTCTAAATGAGAATTGGGTCACACATAAATAGGGCCACAATTTGGTTGGCTGTGAGTCCCTGTAAGAGGAAAGAGCCCTTGTTGGTCATCTCATCCACCCATTGGGAATTGCTGTGTTAATACTGGGCCCATCCATATATCTCTTCCATACACTTCCTTTCATCTGTCCACACTATTGAGAGGACTCTCAGAAGAATTCAGAAACTCTGAGATGTCAAAATAAGGTTAGTTGTAGTTTTGTCAGAGATTTCACTGAAGGCTTGAGCATCTCCAGGTCCACTTTGTCCAGGACTAACTCAGCTATGGCAGAATTTGCATTCTTTCTGATGAGACTGGTGGTAGTTCATGTGCTAGAGGAAGAGTCCTTCCCATTGCCATCTTTGGAAGCTCCCTGACCAATGTGGAATCACTCTGTGATTCCTATCCTCTCACCATTTAAAGTATCCCTGACCTCAAGAAGTAAAGAGACCCCTCTGTTGCTTCATTAAGTAACCCAAGACCCAGTAGTGGGGGTATACATAAAGGATTTTCTGCAAGGCAGCAGGATGTACAGGACACCTTCATCAGAGCAAAACATCCCCTTGTCACGAGTCTCTGAAATCATGCTGTCAAGTCATACATCTATGGGTATGTCAAAATGTACTCTCAAGAGCTCCAGAGGTCAGCAGAAAGATGGGTGCAGTGAGAGACAAAATGAACAGATTCTTGGCCCAGGTAGCTTTCTCCCAAGCCATGGCTAAGTACAATGTCCTGCTCTTTGAAAAAAAAAAAAAAAAAAAAAAGCCCACCCATGAGGTAATAAGGACATCAATATTGGAGATAAGGGGGCAGAAGGAGTTACCATTTCCTATATTCCTCAATTCATATAATCTTCACTCTTTTTGTTACTAATCTGACCAATGTCCCAAGCCTCTTTTACCATAGTCCTTTCCTTTTCGGCATTATCCATGCTCTACTTGACCCAGGCTGCTAGCTCTCTAGGTCGGTGATTTTCAACTGCAGAATTTTACTAGTTACTTTAGGTGTGCCATTAGATGAAAACAGTTGAAAATTGCTGCTCGAGATGATAGAATATATAAAGGTTCATTTTATTATTCTGTATACTTATATGTATGGCTGAACATTTTTATAACAATTTTAAAAAGTATTTAACCCCTCTGCAGTTGATATTTGTATAATAACAGGAGGGTTCCAGTTGCATTTTGTTTTCTATATAGACACCAGTTATTTCACTGTCATTCATAAAAAACACCGTCCTTTCACCACTGCTCTGAAATTGCACCGTTTTCATAAATCAAGGGTTCACATGTAAGCATGTCTATTTCAGAGTTCTATGCAGTTCCATTGGTCTATTTGTTAACTCCTGAATTCACACAACAAATTTCATTACTATAGTATTTTAACAGTTCTTACTTAGTAACATAATTTGTCTATTTTCTAATATCTCAAGTGAGCCTTGGCCCAATTTATGTCAATTTAAATTTTAGAATCATTTTGTCATGTTTCATATACAAATGTACATAAATACACATATTTACCCACAAAGCCTTTTGAGCTTTTTGCTATTGTAGTCAATCTATAGAATAATTTTAGGAAGAATTAACATGTTTTCAACATTGAATCTTCACATTCATGATTATATTATATTTTATATTTATGTCAAACATTATTAATTTATCTAAGTAGCATTTATCCATTTTTCCACAAAGTTCTTAAGTGTCATTTGGCCAGAATTACTCTTACTTGATATTTTGGTATGATAAGTTACAGGTTACATTTTGTTTACTTTTATTTTCATACTATTTATTACTGTTGAAAAAAATTGTATATCAGTGTTAAAGTCATCAACCTTTATATACACTTTCATTGAGTTAATAATTTAACTTCAGTTCTTTTGAATTTTCTTCATACACAATCTAACTATCTATTGTGGCATCTTTGTTTTTTGTTTTCTGATCTGTATATATTTTATTTTTTCTGTTTCCATTATTGCACTGGCTAGTATTTTTATGAAAATATTTAATAGAATTGGTGGAAGCAGTTATCCTTGTCTAGTTCCCAATTTAAAGTTTAAAGCTTTCAACTTTTCTTCATATAATTTTGATGTTTTGCTAATAGTTTTTTCATACTTATCATTTATCTAGTTGGCTAAGTTTTTCCGTTTTAAATTTTCAAAACAAAAAAAAACTTTTTATTTTAGAATAGTTTTTGACTTACACAAATTTTTGAAAAGAGTGTACAAAGACTTCCCATATGCTTCACATTCAGCTTCCTCTATTATTAACATGCTATATTATGGTGCCTTGTCACAATTACTGATCTAATATTGTTACAGTGTTATTAACAAAAATCCACACTTGACTCAAATTTCTTCAGTTTTTATCTAATGTCCTTTTCTGATTCAGGATCCCATATAGGATCCCACATTACCTTCAGTCATTAAGCCTCCTTAGGATACAATTGGTTGTGACAATTTCACAGACATTCCTTATTTTTCATGATTTTTACAGTTTTGAAGAGTACCGGTCAGCTATATTGTAGGAATCCACTTGGAATTTTTCTGATGACTATTAGCATATTCAGTGGAGCAGAGAATTAAATCAACAGTCTGTGCCTGAGAAATAAAAATATGATTTAACATTATAAACTATTTTCAATTGTAATTCCCTACATTAGCAAATTAGAGAAAATAAAAATCATTTGATCAAGTCAATGAATAAAGAAAAAGTATTTTAAAGAAATTCAAGATGAATTCATAGTTCAAAGTTGTAGCAAACTAAGATTAGAGGAGCTTTCATTTCCTAAAATAAACAGTAAGCATACTTAAGTGTAAAATGTTAGCAGCAACCCTATTAAAATTAGGAACTACACATAAATGTTTATTCTCACCTCTACAATTCATAACTATACTGGAAGACAAAGCCAGAGCTGTGGATGTCCCATAAATAATATGTATGAATACTGAAAATAAAGAGATAGTGTTTGATCACAATCTGATCATCTATTTTGAAAATTCAAAGGTCTAGTTGGCACATAGGATAGTCAAGTAAATGAGACTTCAGATAGCATAGCAAAATAAAAAGTTCTGCCACTAATTCAGTAACTAATGAGAACATGTAATATAAAATATCCCATTCACAACAGCAACAATATCTGAAAATTACTGATGAAGAAGTCTTTCAAAACTGTATAAGATCTATGTAACTATGTAAAATTATATAACTACTTTATAGATAATAATGTACACTGAGTGGCCAGATTATTATGATCTCTGAACGTATAATAATATGGCCACTCAATATATATATATATGCGGGTGGGAGACATGGGCGGTTGGCTGGCCTGCCTGCTGGTCGAACTCCTAGTTGAGGGGACAATTTGCATATTAGCCGTTTGTTATATTAGCTTTTTGTTATATAGGATATACACTGAGTGGCCAGATTATTATGATCTTTGAACGCATAATAATCTGGCCTCTCAGTGTATATTATACATATATGATACACATAAGATATATTATTTTGGATGTACTTTAATATTGTATACATGTATACCATATTGTATGTATGGGTATATACCTTTATATATCTGTATAAATATATCTAAATATGCAAGTTTACTAATAGATTTAGGTAAAAGAAGACCTAAATAAATGGAACAGTATATCATATTCATTAATGGGGATCAGAGTATTGTAAACATGTTGATTCTATTTAAATGATTTACAGAATTAGTGACTTACTGGAACTGTCATGCTCAGACTGTTGGCTTCTGCTTCCCAAATCAAACCTGGAAAACCATAGAAGGAAGCAGGTGGAGAAATCAACAACAAAATCTAAACAATGAACCATGAGAAAGCCTGGGAGAAACTGAAGATTGGTGAGCTGTCTTGTGGAGACTGAAGACTTGTGTTTGGGATAGAGGCATGGGGAGTAAGGGAATAGGGAGGGGCTGTAGTTTGCATAGATGCAGACAACAGGGTGGATAGGGGAA